CAATTCTTGCAATGCTGAAGTCACTGAACTGTAACAAACAGTTATGAAAACTAAGAGTCATTTTTCTCGAATCTTCATTTTGTGGATGACATTGCTCTTTTTTCGAAGAGCATCACCGAAGCAAAGAGGATGTTGAAAAAATTGAATTAAGAGGGAAGGGAATAGTGCCGTAAGTTAACCTAGGAGGAAGACTTACTTTAAAAAGAACGACTTACTCGAGATCAAGAAATGGAACTAGGATTTTACTCCAAGACGCTGTGCACGTTTATTCTGAGCATACCATGATTGAAAGAACGATCAAGAAGAACTGGACAGGAGGCGAGGACATCATGGGCCGCTTACTATGTGGTCTTCGTTCTTCGTAAAGGTTCTAGACCCGCTTTCGGGTTTTAAAGTCATAGACCACTAAACTAAGAGCTGGGTGTTCAACTGATTCGATTCAACCGTTCTTCTAGGATGGCAGAGGAGTGGTCCTACACTGCGTCCAACGAAGATTTCGGAAACGCTCAAACGACGTCTTCTAAACTAAAAAAGCACTCCTCTTCCCGCAAAGCAAAGCGTCCTCGAGGGAGGCCATTGATCAGGTGGGCACGAATGGATGGGAAGGAAATCCTAGCTGCTTACGATTGATGGAATATATCTCGCAAATGTTGCCCCCAATTTATTAGCAGCAAATCGGATGAAGCTAGCGAGAAATAGAAACAAATAATGCTGGAGGCGAGGCTGCACGACGAGTGAAGACAGCCCATCTAAGTATCTTATAAAAAATTAAGTTAAAAAATTCTGAACGTGATGATCACGCTCTACTACATTAAATGATTACATTCCGATTATTTTGAAAAGAATCATTGATCCATGAGGGCGGGCTTATTGCAAGTAATTCTGTACCAAATTTCATATTCGCATGCTTACGGAAACCGTATTTAATATACTTGCTGTTGAAGACGAGGAAAAAGCTGAAAGGTTAGTGTAGTTAATTTTTGTTAACTGTATATAGCTTGTTTCGGCTTCTGAGGAATAGCATGAGACATCCAAACTCGCCAATGACTGAGACCATTATTATGATGCCATTATTGCCTACTTTTTGGAGCAAGCGTACGTACTAATTATTCAAAGGACAATAAAAAAAGGAAAGAAGTAATCCTTTATTCAGGTAAGCACTTTCACAAACATTTCTAAACTCCTCTCAGTATCACACCTGACGATTGAGTGGTCAATGAATGTACGGAAAAAAAGTGGTCCTGTATTAGAAAATTTGGCGTTTGTTGAAAGTAGCAGAAGAAGTGAACTTACTCTTGAAAATTCTTTCTGAGCTATCAAAACATAGAGAGTCATCTTCGTGACTTTTTTGAACGCGAGCTTTTGCTGAAAATCCCTTATAAGCAGTGCAGTGATGCAGTTAGACTTACTATCTCGCGTCTTCATGTTCACCAGAACCAGTCTCTTGTTGGCGGTTATCTTCGGAAGTTTCACTCTGAAGTACAATGTTGCATTTACACGGATTACGGTAATTTGATACTGTCGAGAGCTCAGGGTTTATATAATTGCACGCCGAGCATTAAATCCAAAAAAAGCACAACGTCAAGCCACAGACCCTAACTTCGTGCTTCTTAAGTTTGGCTTTTAGTCACATGCTAGAATAGGCTCGTACCTCCTCCTTAGCCTTCTTTGATTTCTTTCGTGAAGTAATCCCTGCCCAGTCAAGAGGTTTGGAAAAATCCAACCTTTCTTCTTTTGATATTGCGGCGAGCGAGTTCCGCAAGTAACTGGGAATTCGAGTACTTTGGCGTCTTGCCATATAAAAGGGACCTTATGCCGTACTTACATATAATCTGGTTCATCGGCATATTTCAAGCCATCAATATATTTGACTATTCGTTTAAAATCTTCTGGAACGATGCGGTAGCACTGGGTAACTGAAGAGGTGCGCTTCACACTTTTAAATAAGTAATTCCGCAGGTATCACATACACTCTATCTTGAAAAACTTTTCCTTCATTTCCAATATTAGGGGCTTTTCGCAGCGTTTCCAAGGTAGTCCCTTGTCGTCGTCGAATAGATCGAAGCACTGATAAAATAAGTTGTTAGAGACGTCTTATTTTATT